ATAGCAAAAACCTCTCAAAAAAAAAAAAAAAAGTACAGAGCATAGTAAAACATCAGTTTAAATTAGTCAAATTTGGGTTATGCCCTTAAATGTGAGAATATTCTAAGCACTTATCAAATGTGGTCTGTGGAATAAAAACATTTTCCCATACCTGTTAACAGGTATCTTTATTTTAAAATTTGCCACAGGGTGTGTGTGTACTTGCGGGAGACAGAAGGGTGGTAGTGAGAAAGCACCTGCTGTGGTCAGTGGTCACACTGCAATCCATTCCCCTCTATTTCTTTCTCCTGTTGGGATTATGAGCACATTGACTGTGTGTTTCCCAAGTCATCGGATCTGGGACTGGAATCACTCAGTGGGCTATGTCGGATTCGGCCACCTTACCCACCACTCCATGGATGGAACCACTCACCAACTACCATTCAATAAATGAGGGAGAGGGGTCGAGTTCTTAGATACATACTTAGCAAATGTAGAAAACTGAACAGTTTGCTTCAGAAGTTCTTAAAACTTCTAATATTTTCATGGACGTTGTGATTTTCCAAAGCCATCATAGGTGGCTTGCTACGTTTGCCAAAATTATTTAGGTACAAAATCATTCTCTTTAGCAGTAGGACTAATGTGCTGTGGAACGCATTTATTTAATATAATTTTTCTCGGTTTCACTGTGTGAAAAAAGGAACATATTTTCTATAAATGGGAACTTTGCCCATTATCTCAAGAAATGTGTCTGTGTTCTTTCTAGCGATATAGTCTAAAATTTCTTCATATTTTTAGATTATGCAACTAATGAAACTACCTTTATTTACAATTTTCTACACGTGATAATATAGGACATTACTATTTATCCATTAGGATGGGATGTTTTTATACGTCCATGGTATGTTCTTGATTAAAGGTTGATCGCCTTTTAGTTAAAAAAAAAAAAGTGCATTAATATTAAACAAAAATATCTTGTGTATAAAATTATTCCAGCAGCTGTTACTTTGTCTTGGTTTCACTAAACCCTGGAGAATAAAGTATGTGTGATTATGTGATAGTTGAAAGCATGTGTGTGTTATATGCAAATCATTGAGGAAAATATGTCTTAAATGGTATTTTGATTTAACAGCTGAAAGTAGGTATATGTTAGGTAGGAATTATTATAGACCATAGTTATACTTCCAGAAGAAATGTTTCCCGATGAATGTAAGTTGGATTAAGTATTGAACATCAATATGGATGTTACTGTACTATTATATTGATCTTTTCATTTCTTCTTGTAAAATGTTAGTATAAAAACAAATAATTTGGAAATGGGATATAAATTGAATTATTATGTTGGGAAGTCTTTGTATGAAAAGTCTTGATATTTAGACTGACCTTGACCTAATCCAGTGGATGTCTAAGATTACAGAAGAGCTTGAAAGGCCCTGCTTTGGTGGCACTGGTGGTAGGGTACCTCTGAGTAATATTGTACCACATGGGAGGGCCTGGGTTCTGATCCTGGGTTGACCTGAACATGCTGGGCACGCTTGTGATCCTGGCTGGCTGGAAGGGTTGCAGTATAGGGTCTTTCTCTTTAAAAACATGAAAGAAAATAAGAAACTTAAAAACAGAAGAGCCTGGGAAGAGGCCAGAATCTATGCTTCCAGTTGATCCAAAGGGATCTGCTTACAGGAACTTGAGTACTGGTAGCTTTTGGCTATCAAGAACTTGGGAATAGAATTAAAAGAGGTATTTCAGACATAGCTTCATTGACTTACTATTGATTCCTTAAAGTTTGTGAGGAGGCTTTTTTTTTTTTTTTTTTGAGAGGTTCTTGCTATAGGGCTTGCGCTTGCCAGAAAGACAGAGACAGAGAGATAGAAAGCAAGAAATCATGCCCCCCGGGGGGACGGCCAGGCTGCAATCCCTTCTCCTGCATTGTCCTTCCAGGGTCTTGGGCACGCATGCATGCACGCACGCACATGTGCCCAGCGTGAGTTTAAGCCACCGGGTCTGGGACTCGAACCATGGTCGGCTACGTAGGAGTTCAGTGACATAGCCATTACGCTAACTGCTGGTCCCCGTTTTTGATTTCTTTAAAATCATTTTTGCTGTTTGCCTCCTGTTTATTTTCATAATTCATTAGAAATGAATTTTTCAATTATTAGATGCTTTCTAAAAACTTACAACTTAAATGAGTTAATGTCATGTCATATTGTCCCTATCTCAAATTTATATACATAACAGAGTTGTTTTTTTTCTGTAAATAATTTTTGGGAAAAAAAAAGGAATGCAAAGACTTTGATTTCATTTCTCAAAATTTTTTTTAATTGTTAGAGGGCATTTGCACTCTTCAGAGAGAGGGAGATGGAGAGTGGAGAAAGCACTCACTAGTGGGGTGTGATCATACTGAAATCCCCTCTCCATTTCACCACCTTTGCAGGATTTTGGGCATACATGCACCCCCAAATTTTTAAGCCAATAGGGCCAAGATTTGACGCATGTCCCACCATGTGGGATTTTACTCTCCATGCACAGTGGTTACTAAACTTCAGGGCTGCTCTCACAATGATACTTGAAATACAGTCTATTACTTGTAAAAATGTGTCTTCTGGAAAAATTTATAAGGCTGATACAGAGCGACATAATTTAAAAAACTGTTATGTAATAACAGTTGCAGTTGTTTGTGTTTTCAGGTTTTCTAGAAGTGCAATATAAAAGATAATGCCTTAGGAATTTTGTCTGATACCATTATTCTCTTTTAACTGCTTACCAATTTGACCCTTCCACATTGATTTTTAGGTCTGTCTTGATTCTCAGTATATCTTTATCTGGTATAATTGCTTTTAAACTTACCTAATTATTATTTAGGTCTTTTCTTCTGTTATATCTTTATTGTCAAGTATTTTAATTCCACACATATTTTAAGGCCCATAAGCTACTGTTTGAAACGTGCGTATTTAGATTTACATATTCTTACGTTGTCATGCTTCCATTTGATTTTTTTTAAAAAAGAATTATTTAACTTTTTTGATTTGACCAGAGAGGGACAGAGCAAGCAAGAGAGAGAGAGAGCTAGAGAGAAATTAAAGTGGGAAAGCAGGCTGCCAGGTCTGCAACTTGAACCACAGTTGGCTACGTGGGAGTCCAGCGCCACTAACCACCACACCACCTGCTGGCCTCCCATTTGATAATTTTTCTT